CACCTCCATTTCCCATCCCTGAAACAGGAAACACCGACGGGTACGTGAGAGATCCAGATCCAGTTCGTCATCTTCGCGGTCCTCTCATTCAGTCAAAGCGGAGGAGTATCCTGAGGAGACTGAGGAGAGGGAGGAAAGCACCACAGGCTTTGACAAGTCCCGACTTGGGACTAAAGAATTCACTGGTCCAAATGAGAGAGGAAGAGCTAGAGGGACCTTTGTAAGTGTTCTCCACCCCCTTGCCTCGAGTATCAATTCCCCAAAAGTGGCTGTTGTGTATTGCTCTGTCACAGTTAAAGCATACCAGAAAGGAGGAACCCCAAAGACATTGTCTGGTTGTGGAAGGTGAGCCAGAATATGATCACTCCAGGTCTGGAGCACAACCCAGGGTGCTGAGTCTGTGTGGAGCAGAATCAAGCCTGGAAGTTTCTGTGCCTTAGTAATTGCTGAGCAACCCCGATGGGCATCAGCAGTTTGGGTTAGGCTACCAGAGTGACTCATCGGGTCATGACCACACTTACTGTTTGCTATTCTTACGCCTTGGCTACACAGATGTCTTTATGAGCATATTGTATCTGTCAGCTGCTTTCTCTCGGGTGCTCTGGAAATCCCTCTACATGATCTTAAACAGCTTCACAGAAACTGCGATGCACTGTGTGATCAGATGAGCTAGAAAGCCCTAAAAAGTGCTCTTACTTTCATGATTAGGTAAAAGGTGTTCTTAGACAGCTAGAGAAGTGATGTTGCATCTCTTTGTAGCCCTGGAAGCTGTCTGGGGGTGGGAGGGTGCTGCCACTGCAACCATTTTATTCTTTTTCCATGTTTTGCTGTTGCAGCAGTTCAGAGCAAGAGGGAGAGGATGGGGCAGAGGCAACTTTTCAGGCAACAATAACAGCAACAGCGGTGGCAACAACGACTTCCAGAAGCGAAACAGAGATGAGGAGTGGGATCCAGAGTACACACCGAAGAGCAAGAAGTACTACTTGGTATGTGTCTGAAGTACCGAGACGTGTGTATGTACTCCAGGTACACCCTAAATGCTTTAGAGGTGAAAGTGCTAGCTGTCGCTAAACGATCTAATCCTCCAGGTTAAGGCTTCATGTGACACTTCCTCACAAGAAGCTTCTGGCTTTACGGCTAAAGAGAACTTGTTTCTGTTCATTGTAGAGTGGTTTCCCACTAAGTGAAATCCTAAAGGCCAGTTAAAGAGCACGTGTTTCACAGTATTGTGGAAAACACGGCGTAAATCTGTTAGTCTGTGGTGCAGGTGGCCTACCTTTCTTGGTGGTTCTGTCCCCATAAAGCGTCCAGCTTCCTGGATGGGTTGGTGCTGTTCCTTTGTATTTCTGGTGATAGCAGGCTACCATACTAACAGGCATTAGCCTGGGAGAGTCCTGTCTGAGAGCGTTCTTTGAAAACGGGGCAGTTTTAAACGGGCACGAACTCCTGATTTGGGTTACTTGAGATCCCTGATCTTATCATTAAATCACGCGGTATTTCAGTCTTGTACCTTGAACGAGAAAGCCTTGATTTTATCACTGCGTTTTTCTCTGATCTTGTTGAAGGCAGAATTGTAATTTTGGGGGTATGCAGTTTCTATGCCACACTTTAAGTACAGAAATGGGTCAGTTTGAGCCCACTGACCCCTGAAAGTGCACATGTTACTAAACTCCCGAGTACGCAGCAATAAGGACTGAAGCTGCCAAAGTGGTTTGATTGGCAAGGAAATAAAGGGGAAATGTGTAGAATGTCTAAATTGTGGGGTTGCAGAACCAGCAGTGGTACTCCAGGCGTAGGCAGCTGTCCCCTGCCCACCCCCAAATACCCTAGAGACCTCCCTGTCCGCAAGGTCGGGTTACTGTGCACAAAAAGCCCCTGTCGCTATTGCGCATTCCCTGCCTTCATCTGCTGTTTTCCTGCCCCCAACCAAGCCAGCGTTTCCCTTTAGATGGCAGTATTCCCTGTGGCATAAACACGGCCATCTGCTTCGTGCCGCAGGGTTGTATATCACAAGGCAGGGTTTTCCTGCTCTCAGTTTAGTCAGTCTCTTTCAACTGATGCCGTTGGCTTCCTCCTGCGCAGCATGATGACCGGGAGGGCGAAGGTGCGGACAAGTGGGTGAACAGAGGCCGCGGTCGGGGTGCTTTCCCCCGGGGAAGAGGTCGCTTCATGTTCCGGAAGTCAAGCACCAGCCCCAAGTGGGCTCATGACAAATTCAGTGGAGAAGAAGGAGAAATCGAAGATGACGAAAGCGGAACAGAAAACAGAGAGGAGAAGGACACCCTACAGACGACGGCTGAATAGCTGCAGTGTCTGCGTGTTTCCCAGAGCCCTGGCAGGAGGGGAGGGGTTCAGCACAGCGCTGGTGCTGGAGGTGGCCAGGGCGATCCTGAAGTGCTGAGCAGAGCCCCGGAGAGGAGCTCTGAAGCAATCCCGAAGTTAACCGCGTTTCCAGAGTTCAGCCTCCCTAAGTGTGGACTAGAACCGATAACTCATTCATGCTTGGATCCGCTCATGGAGTCTATCTTCCCAAAGACTTCCCTTCTGGATGACTACGGTCAAGTACTGGGTGAGATCCTGGATTTTCCTCTCGTCTGTGACCTTACTGAGTGGTCAGTTATTTTTTTGGTAACAGGCTTTGAAGACAATGTGGATTTCGGTTTGTGCCCATCCTAACCCAGTAGTCTTGACATTTTTGTTTCTCTTTTATAATTTGAAATGGTAAAGGTCGGGATTAACTCGCCAGTTCAAATTTTTCTCCCCTATCGTGTATTCAGTTTTTTTTAAATTCATACTCTACTTATTTTAGGCCTTTGTGTACGTAGTAACATCAGTTCAATGATAATTTTGGAAACTATTTTTGGTTCTTATAAATAAGAAAACAATGAAGCATGTGAATAAACATCTAAATGTAACGTGTTGGGACCAAACTGCTATGATTTTTTTTTAAAAAAACTTTTTTTTTTTTTTATGTAACAGTTGAGTTTAGGGCCTTTTAAAAATGATTGTTTTCCTTTTATGTTGAAAGTTACCGAAATTAGCATGGTTTAAAAAAAACAAAAATTACACCCTACTTTTCACCACTGTTTGTGTACACTGTTAGGCCTGGTGTGTGCTGGAGTCCCAAACTGCTTGTAGGCATCTTGTGTATCCTCTCTGCAGCTGGTGGTGAACTTGAGTGCTCTTTCCGAGGTAACATAGTTTTCTAAGAAACTTCAGAATTCTACTAGGTTGAAAATATAAAAGGAGATGAGAATTTTTCAATATTTTTTATTAATCTTTTTATAAAAACAAAAGGCAAATCCCTCCTGTGCTGGTTAAGGACGGCCGCTATGATGTCTTTCTTTTTATCTTCTACTTCAAAATATTCTGGAGCAATTCGCAAGTAGTTCTCTGGCTGAGTCGGTGAGCCTTCGCAGCAGGAGAGGCATGTCCACGCCCCGGCGCCCAGGGTGCACGTGCTGTACAGACACCGCTCTCCCTCTCCTCCGCCTCCCCCCCGCCCCCCCCAGGATTGCTGTGCTCTTTCCCCGCACACACCAACTAGAGTTTGGTTTGTTTTGACTTGAACAGTTCCTGTTTAGCAAAGCCCTGAAGTTTGTTTATGCAAATAAAATACAATAAAATAAGTAGTAGGTGTAACTCTGCTTTGTTTTGTGTGCTGAGTCGGGGGCTCCTGTCGCCAGGAGCTGTCGCTTGCTGTCGGGATTAATTGGTGAGGGCAGAGGAACCCAGAGCCCTGGCCAGCCCCAGGGCACAGCCGCAGGGGAGTTGCTGGGAAGGGAGGCTTTAAAATGCGGTGGTCCTGGAGGAGAGATTGGGCCAGGCAGCAGTCATGGGGGAGGAGGCTCAGCCTGGTGCCCCTGCTGTTGAAGAGCAGCGATTGCAAGCAGCTGCTCTCCTGGTGCAGGGGGGAGGCTCCCGCTTTATTTGGCTTTTCAGGGGGGGAGCGCTGTGCTCGGAAGCAAGTCGAGAAGCTGCTGTGGGGACAGAAGGGCGGGCAGGAGCAGGGTCCTGCGGTTCCCGGTCAGGGAAGGGTGGGGTTTTCGTGAGTAGCGTCACTGGAGATGCAAGAGCCAGGCAGGGTGTGGGCATTGGTTTTACCGTTAGCCCGACTGCTCTCCAGGTTAGGTGCTAAAAGCAGCTGCTGTGTTCTAAGGGGTTGACAGACCTGTGAGCCCCTTTGTGTTGGTGGTAACTGCGGGTGTGTAGCCTTCGGCGTGAATTCTGGCATCCGCCAGCAGCGCCGGGGAGCGTTCCTGGCTGGTGTTGGTTAATGGTGTTGGCTAACAGCGGTTGAGACAGTAATGTGGGCTAACGGTCTGTGTTTCCCTCCACGCTCGAATTCGAGCCCATGAGCCAACTCAAGACAAAGGGCACCCGGCGTTCCCAGCTCCTCTGCCTGGACGGCGCAGCCCGGGGGGGGGCACGCTTCCCGCTCCGCAACGGAAACCTCCACCACCCCGTCGGCCTCCTGCTGGTGCTGATCCTCGGGCCCCCCGCTCGGCGCTTGGGTATTGCTGAGTCAAATGC